GGAGCGAAGAGCCTTGCCCCAGGAGTCAGAAGAAAGGTAATTTGCTTTTAACTGTGGACCCTTGGTTGACCAAGCCACTCACTGTTCTGGGCGTCAGTTTCCTTATTCGCTTGGCGGAAGGAATGGCCACTGTCCTGGTCGCCCTACAGGATCCAGCCAGGGAGGAGCAGGGCAGGCTGGTGGAGAGGCTGGGCACAAGTGGTCCTGCCTGCCCACCTGGTTGGGACAAGGAGGATGTGAATGCCAAAACTCATTTGTGGACACGGTGCTCACAGAGGCGGCTGTCTTTCCGGGTGTTAAAGGAAGCTGATGATGACTTGAATATGGGGGTGTGAGAACGTGCAGCTGTGTGTGTGTGTGTGTGTGTGTGTGTGTGTGTACATGGGTGTGTCCCATACACAAACATCCTCATTGACTGAAAGTTCACAGGGGGCTGAGCACAGGGACAGGTGGTAAAAAGGAAACATATGGCAGAGGTGAGCTCTTCCCTCAAGGAATTTATAGTCTCATGGTGGCAGTGAGGCCTGTGCAAGTGAAAAATGATTGAGTAATACAAAAGAGATAAAAGCAGGTGACTAAGCAGGCAAAACCAAGTGTTAAAGAGCGTGTGGAGATGGACAGCAGCAGGGGAGGGCAGGGTCCTGTCAGCTGAGAGAAGACTGCCCCCGGGGGAAGGCACCATGGGGCCATCAGCAAGACTCGTATTCTGCAGGGGGGTGGGGCCACCAGGCTTGGGGAAGGGGAGAAATGGTGTGCCCTGATCAGCAGCAGGCAAAGGGGGAGCACGGTGGGCACTGATGGGAACTAAGCAGGAGTTAGTGGGCATGTGGCAGCGTGTGGTATAGAAGGGTGCATGGATGAGGTGCGAACCAGCGCTGTCTGCGGGCTCTCTTCAGATATGGCCCCTCAACTCATTCGGTTGGTTCCTCTACAACGTGGAAGCCACCTGCCGAATCCAAGGCTGCTGTGAGGCCGATGCGCAGGCAAACCGTCATGAATCACAGATGAGCCCAGAGGCCAGATTGGGCTTTGGGCATACAAGGTGGAGGGGAGAGGGATTAGAGCTGGGTGAGAGGGGTTGGACAGAGGTACAAGTCCAATGTGTTACAGGCCCAAATTTAGGAAGGGGCGGTGTGGCCTTTGGGACAAATGTCAGTGAAACTGGGCCAGCCATGGTCAGAGGGCATCAGGTCAGGCTCTTTCAGCTTCACTCTTGTTCCCTGTTTGGGATGTGGTCATGCTTGAGCTATCTGACTATCTCCCTTCACTAGCTCTGTGAACTCCCAACTGTCCACAGGGTTACACTGGGTGACACCATGCATCCATGGGAACACGGACCTGGTCCACATGGCTCAATTCTGTGCCCACAGCACTTAGAACACTGCCTCACACACATTCGGCACCTACTGTCATCCCAACGAATGCAGAGGGCGTGTGTGAATCGTGCCCAGCATGGAGGGGAAAATGGTGGGGAGAAGGAGCTGTGTAAAGGCAGGAGGAATAGGAAGGCAGGATTTCATAAACTAGAAGAAAGTTGGCTTGCCCTTCCAGGGCCTGTGCTGTGGTCCTGGCAGGCCAATATCTGATTGAAGGCCTCCATCCAGAAGTGTGTGGAGTTGGATAGGTTCTTCAAGACTTGTCACTTGCTCCCTGCACTTGTCCCGCAGAACTCCAAGGTGGGGGGAACTCGGTAAGCTGGGAGCAAATCTGTTATGGGTCATTCAGTGGTAGACCCAACTAGTCCAACCCCTTATCTTGAGGATATAGAAATTGAGGCCCAGAGATGTGAGGTGGCTTGTCCAAGGTGACACATGGATGTCAAGATCTCCCATTTGTTGATCCTATAGATGTTGTCTTGAGGTCACGGAATAAAGAGAAACCCTGCGGAGGGTTTCAGCCCCTGGCACTGAGCAACGTTCCCTGGCCCTCACGGTCCTACAAATTCAACTAGAATAATGTCGCACATGCTTCTCAACCTAAACTGTCATCCATGCCTAAGTCCTAGGGAGGAAAGGATCCAGTAGGACTGGCTCAAGTCAACTACCCTTCATGGATGCCTCTCTACCTGGCTCTTACAAACCCACTTTCCCTTCCAGTCTCTGGAAGCTGTTCCTGCCTGTGCATCCAGAAAACACAAGTGGTTGGTTACAGCACACATATCCTAGGACTCCCCTGTTCCTCCGAGGACGCCTTCCCATGGAAAGAAAACTAGACCAAAGTGAGCCCCAGGGCCTGTACTCCTTGGCTCCATATCCTGGTCTCCTGGGGGCTGGTCCAGCCTGGGGCTCCACGAGTCCCCAAGCGCTGTGCGGGTGCTTCAGAGAGCGCCTGGCCTTGGACTTCTGACAGTGTGCAAGGGCGGCTTCTACATTTGCCACGCCCCGTGGGTTCATCTGGGCACGCATCTCCGCACCTTTGGTGGTCTCCCGTGCCCTTGTTCCTCTCCGGCCTGCCCACCACTCCAGCGTAGTCACCTCTAAAGAGGGGTTGCCGTGTGTTACTTCTCCCATGGGCAAGACCTACCGGCACTTCACGGCACCCACCAAGGTCAGGCCTCTGCTGGGCTTGCTCCTCACAAGGGGTGCTCCTTCTCACTTTTCCAAAATAATCGTTGCATCTGTGGTTCTCCAGCCCAGAGCGCCTTTTGTCTTTCACTCAAGGATTCAAATGGCCTCCTTCTCCCAGGCCCAGCCCATGCCTCACCTCTTCCATGTAGCCTCAGGGCCATATAGGTTTGTAGATCATCTAGATCCAACCCCTCATTTTCTAGATGGGGGAACTGAGGCTCAGAGAGGGTAGTTGAATTGCTCAAAAGTCAAATCACTAGCTGGAGACTGCAAATACAGATTTCCTCACCCTGCAGTAAAATACCTTTGCACTATTCCCGGCTGAAGAGGGTGTGTCTTCTGGAAGGGAAGGGGATTTTAGGAAGGTATGGACTATCCCTAAATCCACTTGATCTCCCGTTGTCCTTACAGCCAGAAACACACAATTAAGTGCTTAATTAGAAGCTGCTCTGCATTGTTATTTAAATGTTTTCAAAGTAGACTGTAAGCCCCCTGAGGGCAGGGAACGTTCCCTGTGCTATGGGATCCTATCCTCTCCTAAGCCCCTAGCACAGTGCTAGACACAGGAAGGTGTCCTATGATGGCCCATCTGGGAGGACGATTTTCCCACCTCCATTTCTGGTGGCAAGCAGAATGGCACAGAAGCCAAGGGACCCTGCCCAGAACTTAGGAGTCCAGTTCCTAAGTTTTCACGTGAAGGGAGGGGGGTGTGCACAAGAAACTGTGGTTTTGGCAAAGATTCAAAGGGACTGATGGTGGGTGTCAGGCCGCATAGGTTTAGAGCTTCCTTGCTTGCTGCCAGTGTCACAGGAAGGGCACACCAGCCACTGTGTTTTCTGGAGGACGGGCTAGGATGGAACCTGAGGACCCCAGCCACGGTGGACGGCAAGTGTCTTTGCGGTAGGCACCTCCTTTCTCCCTTTGCCCCCTTTCATGCTCCTCCTGGCTTCACCTACTGCTCTCTCCTTCCCCTCCCACCCCGCCCCTCAGAAAGCACTTGATCTTGCCGGAGCCTCCTTCAGGGGACAGTCTGAGCACTATCCTAGCCCAGGGTGGGGGCATTGTGATCTTGATGTCTTAACAGTGGGACTCAGGCATGCTTTACTTTGTGAGACTTGTACTCTTGGGGGACCGTCGTGGGCTCAGGTGCCAGTTCTCAGCCCTCAGAAAGCACAGTGCCTGGACTGGTGTAAGGGGGCTCATGATGTCTTTGGTGAGAGTGATCCAGGGAACTGGAGAAATTCATCTTGGCTTGGGCAAGACACATTATTGTTTTCCTTTTCTCTCTGTATCCAAATTTGAAAGCGTGTCTTTGGGAAAGCGGTTTAAAACAGATTTACAGATTGGCAAGACGCTGAGGGCACCTGGGGAGGGTTCACCAGCGGAAAGGTTGCACCAACTCTGCTTTCAGGGCAGCCCGGAGCCTTCTGTGATTGGTGGCTCCTGCTCAGCACACCTGAAGGCCTCCTTCACTCAACCAATACCTTTCGGGGCTCCACTTTCCTCTCCTCTGGGGCCTTTGGGCAACAGGCATGTAACAATACCTTTCCTGGCTTCCCAGTGGGTGGAAGTTGGTCAAGGTCACTGGGTGAGAGCAAATGGCTGATGACATCCACCCGCCCACTCACCTTCCTGCCAGCCTGGGGGATGTGCTGTTTGCACTCCCAAGATGTCATCTGTGCGTTCCACATTTTCTTCCCTTCCCCCAAATGGGGGAGGTGATAGAGTGCACAGAGATTACTTTATTTCCCATTTTCCTGGAGAGAAATCTAAAGCTCAGTGAGGGGTCATGGCTCACACAGGGTCAGGTGAGTCGCCTGAGGCGTAGCAGTGTCCAGATGTCCATGAGTCTTCCTTCCTGCTCCCCAGCTTTGGTTGGAGGGGGACCAAGGCCACCTTCAGTTAGCCATCAGGAGGCTACGGGGAGTGGATCCTCTCCAGGAGGCCAGAAGGGCTGCTCAGAGAAGCTAGTGGAAGGGTTATGGCTGGGAAGTTTTTGCCCCACCACTGTGGCAATACTGGGCAGACAGAACAATTAATGGCCAACGAAGACAGACTGGCAGGGTGGCATTCCAGGGCCCTCTTGCCCAGATCAGACTCAATTAGAGCGTACAATTACTTGCAGGAGTGCTGTGGGGTAGCTGCCTGCACATGCCATTCAAGGCTGAATGGGGGAAATGGTTCTCTACCTGGCTCCGGGCCAGCTAAAGCCACCATCGTGATCTGCGGGACTTACGTATGAGGGGAGAACACATCTGATGTGAAAATCTTTAGGACACTCATTCCAGTCTACTTTCAAGAAACACCACCCTTTGACTCCGGCCTCCAAATCTCATGGGTAAGGAGTCAAGGTCCCAGCTTCCCCATTAATGCACAAAGCATCCACTTCCACCCCAGAATTTACACTGGCTTTGACAGATGGGGAGGCCTTACCTCGAGTTTCGTTTTCTTTGGAATGGAGAGAGATGTTCTGTCCTTCCTGAAGATAGACGAAGAACTGGTAGCGGTGGAAGCCACTTTGTGCTGGTGGGGAGGGAGGCTGGTAGGCTAGGGGCAGAAGAAGGACAGAGGATGGGCCCCACACCCCACAGAGCCCAGAGCCCCCTGGCTCTTTTCTCTCAAGATAATTCTTTATGCCTTCCATGGTCCCCACTGACCTTCCTGGGGTCCCAGCCGGGGGCTTACCCCACTGCAAACTACTAGGATTTATCTTTCGCAGGATCTCACCTTCAGTAGTTTCCTTTAGGAAACACCTTATTTTGGGTGGTGGTGGGAGGAGGAGGAGGAGGAGGAGGAGGAGGAGGAGGAGGAGGAGGTGTGAGCTGCTTGAAGGTCTTGGGCACTGGTGGGATTCCTGGGCCTTACTTGGCTGGTGGGTGTTGGTGTTATCCCTTTGCTGTTTTAGTCTATCCTGATGGATTTCCTGCCTCAAGAGAAACCCATCCTCCTCTGTGAGAGTGTTTGGCAGCGGATTTTTATTTATTTTTTCAGCATTTCCTTATGAACTCAATTCCCAAAGAAGCCAATTTCTTGGCTGGATCCGGAGGATCTGGAAGTGGTTACGGGGGTGGGTGGGACTCGGTTCAAAGGTTTGATCATGGAAGTGTAGGATCTGGGTGCTCGGGGCACTGGGAGCCCACTCAGGCTCTTCCGGAGGAGAAGGCCCATCTCCCTCCCCTTTGCCCTCGGTGCAGGAGGCAGATCTTTTTCTAAGGTAGGGGGGTAGTGGGGCGGGGACATCGCTCATTCTTTCCCCAAGTCTATGCAGGGGTTTTATGGGCCAGACTTTTGCGGTTGGTTCCAGTGGGGCCTCCTGCCAAACCGTGTGCCTCTGCCTCCTCCCCTTCGCCTCATCTCCCTTTCTAAAGAGCCAAGAATCTTCCTGGGGGTGGGTGGGGATGGAGTGTTTGCAGCGAGGATGCTGGTGGGAGGGAGCTTGGTTCTTTATGGTCACCTCCCTCTCCTGGTCATTAGACAAGAGGGACTCGCCATTTGGAGCTGTTGGAATTGTTCCTCATGGTGCACTTCCGGCCACTGGGGCCTCCAGCATGCTTGCAGCTAGGGGAATTCCTGACTATTCATCTCTCCCTGAGTTTTTGGTTGCAGATCTGATACACGTGTGTGTCGTGTGCGTGTGTGCACGCGTGCGTGTGTTCAGAGTGAGCACAGCACAGGGTGTGCCAGGAGCCCTGTGAGTTTGTATGACTTGGGGTCTGTGCTGGGGCAGGTGCGAGTGCTGGGAGAGTGTGCTTGTTCGCTGAGGCTGTTTTGGAGGGTCTCCGTCAGTGTGTGTGCAGATGTGGGTCATTATTTTTTTTTTCACAAACACTGCCAACGCTGAGAAAGGCTGCTGAGCATAGGTGGGTGCCAGCGTGTGTCCTTCACGTGCATGGTGTGTGGAGGGCAGATGCGGCCGGGTCAGCTTTGAGCAAGGCCAGGGGCTGCTGGGTGCCAAGCTCACTGAAGTGTGGGTGTGTGCCACACTGCCAAAGACTGGTGTCCGTGCGTCTGTGTGCATAAGGCTGTGGTTGGAACTCACTGGTTCAGTGCAACTGGGAATTTATCCTCAGGAGAGATGGCAGACTGAACCCCCCTCACCAGGGCTTTCCTGAAGAATCCCCCCTCCAAGAGTAGAGGCGAGAGATTATGAGGAGGAAGGGAAGGGATACACATGGCGAGCCACTTCTTGGTGCCAGGCCCTGACTAAGTGCTTTCCCTTGTGATATCCCCTTGACCCTCACTACAACTTGGTAAGATGGGTGTTGTCGCCATTTTCTGGATGAGGAGACTGAGGCTCTGAGAGGTAAAGTCAGGTGGACAGTAAACGGTGGAGCTGGGATTTGAAGCCAGGCCTATCTGGCCTGCGTTGCCTCACAGAACTATGAGGCTCATTTATCTTTTTGCTCAGCCCTTTCCGGGGGGTCTACAGAGCCCCATGCAAGGAGATCACATGGGACTGGGTACAGGGGAACACAGGAAGGCAGGCGGAGGGAAGAGAGGGACCCACCAATCTCTGCCAGTCACTCTCCTGAAGACCCTTGCCTTTCACGCTGGCCCCACCCCTTACCTGTCATGAGACATGGGACAGGTGGGTCTGTGCCTCGGTTTCATTCTCTTTAAAACAGACATACCGGTGGCAGGGGTCTCAAAGCACCGTTGTGACCATGACATTAGAGCATACAAGTAAGCTCCTGGGCCGGCACTTGCACACTGCGAAGTCTCAACATTGAGTTGCTTCATTATGGTTCTGGTGGTCATCACCGTTGCCCTGGCTGGGGCAAGGGGTGTTTGAGGGTCATACTCACCTGACAGCTCCTGGCCCTGAATCTTCCCTTTCTTCATATCAACACCCTGAAATGAGAGACAGACACAGGTGTGAGAGACTCCTGGGGCAGCGGAAGGCCATACCAGCACACTTCAGTCCAAGTAGGTTTTGCTGACTTCTTTCTCTCCCTGAGGGAGTACGATGGAGGAGTAGGAACATGTATGGCTGCTCCTGGGATGCGTTGCCAGAACCGGCTATAGGGTTTGGAATGGTGCCTCAGGGGGTCCAGGGAGAGAGGACAGACACAGGCATCGCTGAGGGTGGCCTGGAGGTGAGGGACGGACCCCCTGAACATGAGAGGACACTTCTGGAAGGGCACTCCCATCATCTGCGCCCCTAGACTGGGCATAGGACACGACTCTCTGCCTGTGGGGTCTGGTCAGATCTAAGGCAGGGGCTGGCAATCCTCACAGCCTTGCTAAGCCAGCCCATCCTCTCAGGTTCTCTTTGGGGCCTTCAGAATATTAGGCCAGTGGCTTCTGAGTAACCAGAAGGGCAGGGAGGGCAGGAGGAGGTTGGACCGCTGATTCTGAGGCAAGGTCTTGATGGGACTCAGCCCACAACCTCTGGGCAGATTCTTTGGCCTCAGTTTCCCTCTTCTTCCTTCCCCTCCCTTTTCCCCTCTGCTCCGCGTCTGTGGGATAATGAGGCGATCCCGGGGGCGGGTGCTAATTATTGTTTGTGCAGGACTGGGAGATGCTCAGATGAAAGGGACTGGAGCAGGGCCCCTGGGTCTGTGCCACAGCTCGGGGCCCCTAGGTGTGGGGTTTTATAGCCTTAATGATGGTGATTAGCATGGCTCTTCACTGGTTCTGCCAACACCTAACTGTGCCCTGGCTGTCTTTCCACCAAGCCCTCCTGAGGCAGCCTCTGCTCCTTCCCCTCACAGAGGTGCTCAGGATGAGGGTTTGGGAGCACGGAGCTAAGAGATCTCTCATTTCTCTGTGAAGACTCTTGGGGTCAGTTGGGTGACCCAGCTCCTCGTGCGGGTTACCTTCTACAAAGTCAGAGCCCCACCCCCGTCTTCTTGAAGCCCCCTGATCTCTTCCCCTTTGGGCTGTAGCTTGTCCACCAACCGTTCTCACTTTGGGCCTCCTTTGCCAGAACATCCCCTCCCCCAGACTCGTCCCTGGTTGGGAGAAAGGGCAGAGGACGGCAGAAGAATGGGTCCCTCCACCTTGGGCCCCCTTCCCACTTGGTTTTCCTCACCCTGGGCAGGTGAGATCTCTGTCCTTTGGCACCCTTCCAGCCCCCTCGTGCAGTCTTGTCTGCTCCAGAGCGTCCAGGCAGCCTTCAAATTTAGTCCCTGGGACAGCAGGGCCGTGCGTGGCCAGCTCTGCCTTGGCTGGCTTTCCGCACGGTCCCCGACTCCCCCAGTATCGGGCAGTCTTTCCCAGGGCTGGCAGGGGGCCCAGGTGTGGCCAGGGGTTGAGAAGCCAGGGGACGCCAGGGTAGAGGGAAGGGGTTGGGGAACGGAGGCCCCTCCCCTGATTCCCATCTCTCCCAGGAGAGGACGTGAGGGCCCAAGCCTTAGCACCCACTCTCCCGAAATAGCTCTCTGGCGGCTCTAGGGCGACTGAGAGATGGGGACTAAGCCCAGAGCGGCCCAGCCCAGCCTGCTCTGTGCTCCCAGCCTCCCCCTCACTCCTCTCCAAGTCAGCCCAGCCAGCGGTTTGTTTAAACAAAACAATAGCAACCTAAGCTGGCTGTTTCTTTTCAATTCCCCACAGGCTTGGGTCCCACCCAGAGTGATAAACAGGCCTCTCTCCTCTGTGTGAGTGCAGGGAGGGGTGAGGGTGGGGGCTGGGGCCTGTAAGGTCAGGGAGTTTGTGCAGAGCAGCATGGAAAGTCTGATCTGTGGCCCTGATCAGGGTGGAAAGGCTCTCCTACCCCTCCCTTTCACTCCAGGGAGTCTTTTCTCATCAACTGGGGCCAGCTTGGCACAGACACACGCACACCCGCACACCCGCCGATTCATTGAGTAAAGCCAGCAGTCCTTCCTGCCTGCCTCCCCTGGCGGAGAGCTCAGCTGAGGCTGCTGCTGGGGGAGCGCGAGCAGAGGGCACTGATGGCTTCAGAGTTTTCAGGGTCTCTCTGGAGCTTGTTATACAGACAGGCACTGGTCCTTAGAAGGAAGGGCAGGAAGGCTCTAAGGAAGCGCCAGGCTGTAGAGGCGCCCCTGCAGAGCATGTGGTCAGTGTGGCTGGTAAGTACTCAAGTTGGGTTGAGGATGGGCTAGGCTTCCTTTGGGTATAAGCCTTCCCCCATTGGTCTGTCCTGGGGGTGGGCAAAATTTCTACCATATAATCAACACGTGGTAGGAGCCTTAGGAAACCAAATTCAAAGGGTGAGAAAGTTGAGACTCCAAGGAGCTCAAACTGCTTGTCCAGAGCCACAGAGAAGTGAGTGGGAGAATCTCAGAATATTCCAGGAGGAAGGTGCCTTAGACCCTCGGACCTTTGAGACCCACTAGCTCAAGATCTTGTGTCTTTTGACCCACAGTGACATCTTATGCTTTTCCTACAACGTCATGATGACCCTATCACTTCCCCAGGAGGCACTGTTTTAGGAAGACTATTATTAAAATACACAGATATCACGTGGAGGACTGGGGCCACAGCGGAAATGGTTAAATAGTTGCCTGCCCCGCCCTCCAACCCCATATGAAACCATGAGCTCTTCCGAAATGTCTTCATGGATTAGAGTACCACAACTAGCCTGAGATGACCTTAGAAAGCTGGAAATCCCTGGGGATGGATGAGATTCTGGGATATTTCAAGGGTGGGGGGCTGGGGTGGGCAGTGGGAATCTATGGGTCTAAGCACTTCCTAGGGAGACAGGACTGAGCCTGAGGGTGGGCAATGAACCTAGCATTTAAGGAACAGATCCCACACCTGTCAAGTCTGAGCAGACAAGAGCTTTGGAAAGAGAGTCTGCAGTGGGGAAGGGGCTGCTGAGAGCTCCCCGACACCTGGCCTCCTCACCTGGACCCCTCCTGCCTGGCCTTCCCCCTCCCCCAGGTATGCTGCTCCTCTTTAAGATGGGCCCATCCCAGACAAAACCTCCTTTCCCTTACTATAGCTAAGACAGATTGACATTTTCAAAAGGAGCTTGTCTAAATGCTAAGGTTAAAAAAAGGAAATAATTATAGAAATTACAAACAGCATAGAAATTGTTGGGTTTCTGATCCTCAAGAACACCGAAAAGCCCAAGATGGCTTTCTCAGGGTATCAGGACAGGAACACCTGAGGTGTTAGGGCAGTGTGTTTAGGAGGATGCCCAGGGCCCTTCTAAGTGTTAGAGACTAGATGACCTTAGGGAGGCAACTCTCTCCTTATTAGCATCCTCTGGCAAGGGGAGGAGAGGTGGAGGTGGAAGATTGCTCAGTAGGACCCTTAAATGCCCGGGATATAAGAACAGTCTCCTCTTTTTCTTAGAAGTTGGTCCCCAATATGTGTGCACCTGCATGTGTGAATGTGTGCATGTGTGCATGTGTGTGCATGTAGGGTATGTGCACAACTGCTTGGTGTAGGAAGAGGCACAAATTATTCTAAATGCAGAGAAGAAGCTTGACTCTATGGACACTCTGGAGGAATTTCTGGGCTTATAGACATTAGTTGGGAGCTGGCATATGAGATGCTTAAGAGAAGGTGAAATGTGACCAAGAGTCAGAGAGTCACAGCGTCACCTCTGGCCTCCAGAGCCTGCTTTATCACCTGCACAATAGGGCAGACATGCTGGCGGGTGGGGGGTGTTAATATCCTCTGACAACAGCTCCTAACCAATGGCTGCTAGAAAATGAGGCACAAATACTGCAGTTCCTCATCTCTTGGGGGAAATGATGGAGCAGCATATTTCAACACTGGCTCCAGGTACCCATAGTGGAACTTGTTTGCTCATGAACCTTGACTGAGTGCCTTCCTTTTGCTCTCTTACCCTCCCCCTTGCTGGTGCTTCCTTGTGTCCCTTTGAAAATACACTACTTGCACTAGACTCCTTGTCTCTGGCTCTGCTTTGGGGGAACCCACGCTAAAATAGTAAGTCCAACAGACGTTTGTGGAAGGAGCAGAGAGATGAATGAAGGCTTTGTCTAAGGTGTCATGGGTAGCTGGCCTTGATGCCAAGACTAGAAGCCTCTACTCCTGACTCTGTCCCATATCTTCTGACGGGACCACACTGCTACTGTCTGGACCTGGATCCTTCTGCCCTTCCGGGCCAGGTCCCAGAGGTCCCGGATATATTAAGCCCTTGGAGTACCACAAACAGATGCGCCAACTAGATGAAAGTCACTTCTATCTTTTGTTTCTTGTCCATGGGGACACCAGAGAGTGACATTTCCTGAGAATCAAGGGTCCAGAGGCACCCCTTCCCCAGCCTGGAGAAGCCTTAGGTAAAGGCTTCTTGAGACTGGTGGCCAGATTCGGGTTGTGAGGTCTGGTGGGTGGGGCCCCCAGCATGGAGGCCAGCCCAGTTTCCTCATTCCCCTTCAATTACCTACAGGCAACTGTCCGCCCACCGGGGCATTTGTGGAGGCCCAGGGACTGGTGCCTGCTGACCCCTGGGGTAGAGGGTCAGCAGCACATTTCGTAGAGTCTGCGGGAGATGATTTAATCGCTTCACCCACTTCTTCCAATCTAGACAGGAAGATTCAATCACTTCTCCTGCCTGGCTGCAAACCTCAGTCAGAGTGGTAACTTTCACTTTTGATCACAGGGTGGGTGGCGCTGTCAGAAGAGTCCTGAACTTGAAAGGTGAGTTACAGAAAGATGTTGTGGGGATAAGGGAGACTGAAGGGAGAAATGAACGAAACAGTACTTGGGGTGCGGCGGGGGAAGAAAGAAAAAAGGGAAACTGGAAACAGAGTTCCAGGCTCTCTGACATGGGCACCAAATGAGAAAGTTCCTTTGCTGTTTTGCACAGCTGCCTGCAAGCTGCCAAGTGGCAAAGGATCCAGGAAAAGGCACAGGATTGGAAAGTGCTACCCAGCAATCTGTGTATTCTGCAATTAAGAAGGGGTAAGTAAAAG